CCCCCAGGCCAATTATGCCTCAGAAAATTATAGAGGGAGGCTCGAAGCGGCCGCCCCAGGCCCTGTCACCCCCTCCCGCCCCCCGTCAATCGCCCTGCACAATGGGACGCCACCGATGACTGATGTCCGCGAAAACAACTTGCGGGGAAGTGGCGCTGACGAATGTCCCTGAAAGGCGGCGCACAGTGAAGGCAGCCGCGGAGGGTGGCGGAGGGGCCGCGGGCGCGCGTGGAGACCTCGGGTGGCGCTCACCCCAGGAACGCCTGCAAGGACCAAGGCACTGTCCCCATCAGAGGGGTCCCACCCCCTAGAGCACCCGAGTCGGGCGGGCGGGTCCCACAAAGCGCTGTCTGCGCCTGTCAAAGGCCTCAGAGTCCCTGCCTGTGGTGGGCTGGGGAGAGGGGACCTGACAGAGAGCAGAGCAAGGCTCCGGAGACAGAGTAGGAGTGAGAGAGGCGCTCACAGAGGCTGGAGTCGAGCTGCCAGAGAACAGACAAGGACCACAGAGAGGAGAGAAACCGAGACCAGGGCGTGGGCGCCACGGATCGAGCCAGACAGAGACAGTGACCGAGCGAGAGACCTGACACGGAGGGAGAGACAGCGGACCCCCAGGTGGCCCGCTGTGTGGACAGCCTGTAGGGTGCCTGCCAAGTGAGCCACAACAGAAGGGGAGCCATCTCATCGGTGGCCTTTAGGGAGACCGGAGGCTCGCCTCCCCCTTGCTCCCGGGACCCTTCTCCCCAGTAGCTCCCTGACCTCCATTGAGAAGCAGGGTGTGCAACGTGGCCTGCAGGCTGGAGGAGTCCAGGGGCCTTCTCCCCATCCCTCCACTCTGCAGTAGGGTCTTTGCCCTGCCTAGGGGAGGGGGAGGGATCAGGGAATGAGGGGGCTGGGGGGGGGTTTCTCATGAGCTCTTTTAGCACCCTCCACCAGCACACTTGCAACTTCCATGGCCTCATACAAACAGAGCACTGTGTCCACTCCAGTGTGCCCCTCACCTCGGGCCTGGAACTCCAGTACCTCGCAGTCCCTCCTTGGACAGGGCCTCTGGCTGGGTTGCCTATGCCCAGCCCTCACGTGTGTGGACCCACTTTAAGGGTCAGAACCCATAGGAGAGCAGGCCTCTAGGGACCCTGTCCACGACCTTGGGCTGGCACTGCTGGCTGCTTCTTCAGAGCCACCCCAGATGCACAAGAGGGGGTGTACCCCCTGAACACAATAGCCCTGCTTCCCTGGGTTTCCCAGCAGCACTCAAAGGAACAGAGACTTTGAAAGGGAGAAGCAGGGAGGCAGAGATGCAGAGAGGAGACAGGGCTGTAGAGACCCTCTCAGCGGAGGCGTGGGGGTTACTGTTAGTTTACTTACAGAAAGGCTGTTGTCAGGAGCCACCCGGTTGAGAATGACTCATAGCAACCTATGAACAACAGAACCCTATCCTGTTCTGCACCATCCTCATCCTCTTGATAGGCTCAAGCCCACCGCTGCAGTCACCATGTCTATTCAGCTCTTTGAGGGTCTTTCTCTCTGTTTCTGACTCTCCGCTTTCTCCAGAATGATGTATATCACATCAAAAAGTCACTACGGAACGTGGGAGAGACTGGAGAGCATTTTGCTGAGTGAACTAACTCGGTCTCATAAAAACAAATACTACCTAAGACCATTAATTGTATAAGTAGAAACATACCTGGGAAAATACGTATGAGGACCCACGATGGGGGGGATGGGGGGAACCGAGGATGGGCAGGGGGAAATCAAAGGGTCCCACAATTTGATGGGTGGAGGGAGGTGAGGTAAAGGAAATGGGAAAGATTCAGCGGGGCTCTGGAAACAGAGACAGGGAAACAGTGGGCATAGTTCAATGGAGACTAATTTTATAAAATATGATGAATGGGATTGACTGTATGATACACAATATGAATGAAGGATAGTGTGAAACATAAATGTTTATGGATTTTGTAAGCAAATCAATATAAAATAAAATGTAAAGAACCAACCAAAATAGTTAATGAGCATTGCATTAGAAAAGATGAAGGGAAAACAGTCCGAGAGGAATACGTGACTGGGCGTTACATGTACAACGAGGATCGGGAGCAAGGGGTCCATTGTGGGGAGGGTGGGGAGGAGGAAGGAAATGTACAACAATGGAGAAAAGGAAGTAAAAATGTTATTAAAAAAGCCCATCCCACAACACCAAAATCCTCAGCACTGGATCAATGGGCAACGTCATGACAGATGGAGAAAAGATCGACGTTGTCAGCAATTTCATTTTACCTGGATTCACAATCAACACCCTCGGTACCAGCAGTCAAGAAATCAAAAAGATATCTTGCTCTGGGAAAAATCTGTGTTCAAGAGACCTCTCCAGAAACAGCCCGAATATCCAAGCACAATCAAATGGATTGAGAAATTATGATACATCCACATGATGGAATACTATGCAGCAGGCAGGAGCAATGATCTTGAAAATCACTACCTAACTTGGGAGGGACTGGAGAGCATTATGCCACGTAAACGAACTCAGTCCCATAAGGACAAATACCGAATGATACCATTATTGTAGAACTAGAAAGGTAACTTGCAAAATATGTATGAGGATCCAAGGCGGAGAGGGTAGGAGCAGAGGGTGAGGGTGGGCAGAGGCTTAATCAGACGGTCTCACAATTAGATGGGTAGAGGGAGGAGTGGGTAAAGGAAATGTGAAAGATCCACTGTGAAAAGCAATGTTTATGAACTTTGTGAGTAAATCAATATAAAATAAAAATTTTATTAAAACAAAAAACAACCTCTCCAAAGTGCTCAAGAGCAAGGATGTCAGTTTAAAGACTAAGAGGTGCCTGATCCAATCCATGGTCTTTTCAATTACTTCTATGCTTCTGAAAGTTGGACAATGAATTGGGAGGACAGAAGACTGGATGTCCTTGAATCGTGGTGCTGGAGGGTAGTGAAAACCCCATGGACCGATGAAAGAACACAGGCCCATCTTGGAGCAAGTACAACCAGGATGCTCCTTAGAGACAACGATGGTGAAACTGGGTCTCAAGAACAGAAAGGTTCAGGGTTCAAATTCACCGTCTGCTCTGTGAGAGGAAGTCGGGTTGCCTGCTTTTGTTGGGATTCACAGCCTCAGAGCTCTGGTGGAAGGAGGGTCACTGTGAAAGGCCTTTGGCTTGGGGTTTGTTCCTGCAGACCCCACCCTCCTTCTCTACAGCACCCCCCAACACACACACACAGAGGCCAGAAGGCAGATATGAGGGGTTCTGGGCTCCCTGTCTGACAGTCTGGTGACCAGAGGACGTGGGAGCCTTCCTCCAGTCCCGCCCCTGTCTCAGTGTCTGCCTTGTCCCCAGGTCTACCCAACCTGGGCCTTAGAGTGGGGCAGGGATGGCCGCCCTGGAGCCGGGGTCAAGAGTGGCTTTCCAGCCTAGCAGGGCTGCTCTGGGGAAGGGGGCTCTTTGGTTTTGTTCACAGTTTAGCTCATAGATAGTAAAGGCTGAAGAAAAGAAGGGAGGAGGTTGAGAGAGAGAGACTGAGAAATGCGAGAGATAAGGGGTGAGGAAGGGAGGGCACAGCCCCTTGTTTTCGGCAGGCGGGGCTGGGCCTGCTTCTCTCCGTGCCTATCTGTACATGCCCAGGAAGGGGACTCAGACTCAGTCCAGCTGCAGCCACTAGGAGCTGACCCTCCAGTAGGATTCCGAGGCTGGAATGTGCACCTGAGGAGACGGTCCATCTTTCTCCCCAGGAGCAGGTGATGAATTTGAACCTCCAGTGAAGCACTGGCCTCTGGGTTCACAGGACAACTGCCATGGGCCCCACCCCCTCCTTCATTAACAATATGAGAGCTGCCAGGTCCCCTGCCGCCAGGAAACCGACAGAGCCCCAGGGAGAGGGTGTCAGGGGGACTCTCCCACGCACCACAGCAGACCTGGGTGCCACTCCTGGCCCGGGCACCTCGCACCATGCGTGGGTCAGTGCAGGCCTCCTGCTGCCAGGACCCTGAACAGCTTTCATCAGAGCATCTAGACTAAAACTAGGAAGAAAGACGTGGTGATCTCCTTCCCAAACCCAGCTGTGGAAACTCCCAGGAGCATAAGGACCCACTCCATCGTGTGAGGGCCCACAGTGGGTCAAAACAGACAGCTGGCATCAACAGCCACTTCTCCCCTTTAACTGGGTGCCTCTGAGACAGAAGGGTGGCCTCTGGGACTGAGGGGTCCCGAGTTACACCTGGACATCAGCCCACACTGAGGCCCCTGGCCAGCAGGCACTTAGTGTTCTTGGTGACATGACTAGTTAGTTGCTAGTTTGCTCGTTAGTGATGGGGATTTCAGTGAAGCCAGCAGAGACCCCAGGCCCTGGCAGCAGTCTCACCCTCAGCCCTCCAGTCTGTCTTTCACCCCAGAGCCCAAGGACTCTGGGGACATGAAGCTCACCCTGTAGGGACCCATCCCATGGACAATGGCTCTCCTCACAGCTCACCTCCACAGCTCGATTTCCTCCATCACCCCTACCTACCCTCGCCTGCTGCGAGGCCTCCCCTCTTCTCAGCTGGGGTCTTTCTGGGTCCCCAAAGTGCAGGAAAGCCCAAATGATTAAGTCCTCAGAGGGGGATGCCCAGTTGCTTCCTGGGAGGGAAGAAGGGGGCTGGGCTGAGGCACCCACCCACTGCCCTGCCCTCCCTGTGATACGGAACCAGGTGGGGGGTGCGTAATGCGGTAATAGCGACCCTGTTAATTGCTTCCAAATGGTCAGTGCAGCCATTTGACTAATTATTCTCTTCCAGACCCGGCTGGACACCCCCAGGCCGACCCAGCCCCCTCACCCTTCCTGTCCCAGGACTTCTGCTGGGTCCCCAGGTCCCTCCCATCCCCATCTGCTTCCTGGGTGACTCCAGTGACCTGTCCTTCCTGGACCCAGGCCTCTTTCCTGCGGAGGGCACTGGGGAGGGAGAAGCAGAGGATGTAGTTCCAGCCATCTGGGGGTGACTTGGATGTGGTGCTGGCTCTGGGCCCCAAGGAGCCTCCCTGGATGGGTGGGAGAGCTGGGCCCGGGGGTGGTGGAGGGGTCCCCGAACTCTAGAGGCAGCCCCACTTTCCAGATGCACAATGGAGGCTCAGAGAGGTCAAGTGACTTGCCCCAGGACACATAACTGGTCAGTGAGAGGAGGTGACCAGAGTCCCATCTTTGTGTCTCTGCTTGTGAGCAGTGACCCATGCACAGTCCAACCGGCTGGTCAGGGAATGAGGGAGGTGGACGGCGGCTAAACCTCTGTCCCTGGCCCTGCTTCTGGTCACGTTTAGAAACCACAGCACAACAGGGGTTCCTGATTCTCTTGCCAGGCCCAGGTAGACCAGGCCTCAATGTAATGGAGAAATTGAGTCAGAGGGGGTTCTGTCAGCGTCATCCCACAGTTAAGGAGCCCCATGAGGGCCCTCTAGACTGATCACACCTTGGCTTGTCCCCAGGAGGGAGTGGCCCCTCTTGTCCCTGCTGCTGTGTGGGTTCACTGGGACCATGGGAGCTGCCCACACTAATTCCCTGGATAGTGAGGCCTGCTGGGTGGAGAGAGGAGGAAGCCTCCTCTCCAACACGCTAGCAGAAACCCAGGTTGGGTCTAGAGTCAGATGGGGCCTCCTGCCAGGAACCCCCAAGTGTGTGTGGCCTCCAGGTGGGGGGCGGCAGGGGAAGATGAGTGAATGAGGTGAGTGACCAGGGCAGAGAGATCGCATACTTGGGGAACAGAGGAGACACTCAACAGGGTCACTACCTCCTCCGATTTAAGTATTTTAAAAAATCTAAACAACGCTATAAAAAAAAAAAGATGCAATTCACATACCATACAAGTCACCTACTTAACCCAAGTGTGTGGTGTCTCTAGGTACGTGCCATGAACACCACACACAGACAAAACTGTCCTCTCTGGAAGGGTTTCACACCTCTGCTGTCACCCAAGGAGTGAAATGCTCAGATGCTAAGAGAAAGGTCAGTGGTTCAAATTCAGCAGCCGGGGAAACATCAGAACAGGTGCTCTGTGAGGTTCCATCCTGGGGAGCCCTGAGGCCGGTCCCCTCCATCCCACAGGGTCACCAGGAGTCGGAAAGAACTTGGCAACACAACACCACAACAACAGTGCTCCCCTGTACCCCTCAGCCCACCCTCCTGGGCCCTAACTCCCGCCCCTCCCAAATCCTGTTGCTGTCAAGTTGATTCCAGCTCAGAGACCCTGTGGACACAGGAGACCTCTACACAGGCCTCTACCCAGAGGTCTCTAAGCCCACAGGTTCAGGAGCCAAGGGCTCTTCTCCCTAGGAGCCGTCGGTAGGTTGGAACTGCCGATCTATTGGGTAGCAGCCCAGTGTTTAACCAGGGCCCCGTCAGCTTCTGTCTCTGTGGATTTGGCCCTTCTGGATGTTTCGTTCACACACTGAGTGATCTGTGATGGGCTTCTTCAAGGTTCATCCACATCAGCACTTGTTTCTCTCAGTGGTAGGGCAGTGCTCCTCCAGACAGACGGACCACCCGGTGCTTGTCCATTCCTCTGCTGATGGACATGTGGCCTGTTCCTGCCTTTGGAGGTTTGTAAAGCCCCAGGCTGAGTCCGAAGAGAGAAAGAGCTTCCTCTGAAAAAGGGGGTGGAATGCACCCTAGCGGGAGGCACGCTGTCCCTTTCTCACCCGTGCGACTGCGCCACTGACCATCTGAGGTTGTCGCTGGAGCCCCCATGCCTCAGTATTCCCGTCTGTTGAATGGCACAGCAGTCATGGCCGCTGCATGTGCTTGTCTGAGCATTTGGTGAGTGAACTATTGGAGCATGGGGTTCAGTCCACAGCAGTGTCCATGCCGTGACCACGCCAGGCCCCGTGGAGAGGTCTAGCCCAGGCCTGTGGACAGGGTGGGTGAGGGGGAGAAGGGAGGCGATCTCCTCCCGCCACCTCCCACCTCCCACCTCCCACCTCCCACCATGGAGTCCTCCTGTGCAGGCCAGGGCTTCATCAAGAGCAGTGGAGCCTATGCCCGAGGGTCCCTGCACGGATCCCGTCATCCTTGACCATCTGGAGGCTCCTGCTGCCCCTCACATCTCAGTACTCTCCCTGGGCATTGACAGCCCCGTCCACTGGTCCACCATGCCACTCTGAGCCCTCAGAGTGAAATGTGGCCAGGAGGACTGGCCTGCTTCCTGTTGCCCCCCCCCCTCCCCGCAGTCACACACTCTGGAGAGACAGGCCTCGTGTCCACCTCCCTCCCTGGCCCGCAGGCTGTGGCCAAGACATCTTGGTGGGGCTGTGGGACAGGAGGCAGTGTAGCCAGCTGGAGCCCCAGGGCCTGAGCAGTAGGGGGCAGGGAGGAATCTCAAGGTGCCGGGCAGTGGGTGCTTCTACCCATACCCCTCGCCACCCCCACCTGGAGTGGCTTGAGTTCCCTGAGCTTTCCCGTCTCTTCACACAGTCCTGTCTCCCACACAGTGCTGCTATGAGACCCCTGCCAGGGAAAGGCCTGCACTGTCGGGGGCTTCCTCGGCCACTGCAGCTGACCACCGTGCAGCTGCGGCCAGGTCCTGTGAAGCCCACTCTGACTCATAGCATCCCTGCGGACAACACAGCTGACCCTTGTCCTGCTCTCTGTCGTCTCCTTTTCATCACAGAGACCTGGAGCGGGCACAGACTGTTGGAGAAATGGTGACGTCGGCCCGCCAGACTCAGGCACAAACCTTCAATCTGTAAAACACAGCAAAGGGAGGTGCAGTAAAGCAGGGTCCTCTCCAGGTGTCGTGTAGAAGGGGCAACCAACACAGGGACAGAAACATCCAGAGGAGTCCTGTGGAAGTCTACCCACAGTCAGGAAAGGGGTGCCAGGCCTGCTGGGGCTACCAGGGGCCACTGGAGACCACGAGGGTCCACGGAGACCACCAGGGACCACTGCGATGAGCAGAGTCTACGAGGGACTCCTGGAGACCACCAAGGACCACTGGTGACCACTGGAGACCACCAGGGCCCCCACCGAGGCTAGAGAAGAGCTTGTGGTTGGCCTGCCTTGGAGTCTCAGAAGGCGTTCAAGGACCGACGTGTCACTCCCAGCCATGCTCCCAGCCCTCGCGAGAAGCAATCTCCGCTCCTGGAAGTCCCGCTCTCATGACGCACAGCAGCCCTGACACTGAGACTCAGGACTCTGGCCAAGCTTCTGGGAGGAGGTCCTGGGGAAAGTGCAGCCAGGGGACAGTGGCCTCAGTGACCTGCTGTCCATCAGCCACTGAGACTAGTCCCCACTCTGCGTCTCTCGGTGAAGTCTGGAGAGGCCCTTCCCTGCACTTCACAAAAGATGCTTGAGAGGTAGAAGGGGGCGTGTGGCTGGGGTGGGGGACACAGCAAGGCTGGGCTGCTTCTCCCAGGTCTGAGTCAGGCTGCCGGCCCCTCCTACCCCCAACAAATCAAAGCGGAGCCCCTCAGATGTGGTCTGCCTGAGGCTCCATGACTGTGTGACCACGGAGGAAGTGTCACAGCCACCTGGGCTTGCCTGGGGATGCGACGTGCCGCCAGCAGCCCTCCATCCACGGGGCAGAGAGGGGGCCACACAGGAAGGAGTAAATGAGGAACGCCTCTCACTTCCCGGCTCCAAGGGGCCCAAGGTGGGGGGACCCCCTCCCACTGACTGGAGAGCAGAGGGTCTGTGAGCCTCCCAGCTGGACAGCCCCCTCTGCTGAGACCACCACCCACACTGGGCTTCACCCAGCCTCCCACCTTGATCCCTGCCAGCTGCCAGGGTGGGCGGCTTCGCCACAGGCATTGGAGGCTTGCTGGACCTCACCTTTGATGTCTACCATGCTGTTAAAGGCACGCCGCTCTAACCCCTACATCCCTCTAACCCCTACTTCCGTCTAACCCCTACTTCCATCTAACCCCTGCGTCCCTCTAACCCCTGCGTCCCTCTAACCCCTGCGTCCCTCTAACCCCTGCATCCCTCTAATCCCTGCGTCCCTCTTACCCCTACATCCCTCTAACCCCTGTGTCCCTCTAACCCCTGCATCCCTCTAACCCCTACGTTCCTCTAACCCCTACACCCCTCTAACCCCTACATCCCTCTAACCCCTACTTCCGTCTAACCCCTATGTCCCTCTAACCCCTACGTGTGGTTTGCAGGGACTTTGCTCCTGAGGACTGCGCAGGGAGGGGGACGGGGGGGGAGTGGCTGAGCTCACCTTCAATTACCAGGAGGAGCTGTTAGAAGGGCGCTGGGAAGGAGGGGACTCTGGAGCACAGGGCCCATTCCGTTCTGTCCCACTCAGGGTCGTTCTGTTGCACTCAGGGTTGCTGTGAGCCTGACACACCATAGGAGCCTGGTGGTGCACTGGTTCAGCACTGCACGGCTGCGAGTCCAGCAGTGTGAGCCCATCAGCTGACCATGGGGGAAGATGTGACCCCACTTCAGATGATCAGGGCCTGGAACCCGCGGCAGCCCCACCCGGCCCAGGGTCCTGTGAATCAGAGCTCACACAGTTGTGACTTGG